TATGTATGTTTATTAATGTTTTTAAGAATATGGTTGAATATACTTGAATATATTTGAATCTTTTTTAATAGGGTTGTAAATTTTAATTATTTTATTTTTAATTTTTAAATAAAATAAAAACAAAAACAAAATAGTTGGCATTATAAAAAATCATGGGGAGTGGCTCCCCATCCTCGCCCCACCCCGTTGCCATTCCTAATGCCTTTCATTTCAAAGTTGGTTTTTAACCAATCTTTGGTTTCATTAATCATAGACACTTCATTTACCAACAATGAGAATATCATCTACATATAATGAAAGAACAACAAAATTATTCCCACTATTCAAAGAATAATGCCAATTATCAAACGAATTAGGAATAGATCCATGTTTTGATATTGTTTCATGAAAGGTATGGTACTACATCCTAGAGGATTGTTTTAAACCATACAATGATTCATTACTTTGTATACTTTGTTTTCTTGTTCCTCTGTCACATAGCCTTTGAGTTAAGTCATGTATAATTTTTCATTCAGTTTTTCATTGAGGAAAGTAGTCTTAACATCTATTTGGCACAATTCTAAGTCTAAAAAGGCAATTAAAAACATTAGGATTCTAATAGAGGTAAACTTAGAAAATGAAGAGTAAGTCTCCTTATAATCAATCTCTTCTACTTGAGTGTAACCCTTTGCTACTAACCTTGTCTTATATTTTTCTATAAATCCATCTGCATTGAGTTTTTTTTTTCAATATCCATTTACACCTTATAGGCTTTCCATTTGTGGGCAAATCAACTAATTCCCAAACCTGATTTTTATTTATTGAGTGTAACTCTTCTTCTATGGCTTCGCAACATTTTACCTTGTCAAGTGCTTCTATTGCATATTCAAAATCAATTGGATCATTAAGAGATTCATCATTCAAGTAAGTACTATAGTAATCTTTTAGTCTTGATGGGGGGAATCTTTCCCTTTGAATTCTACTTAGGGTGTCATTATTAGATGAAACTTGTCTTTGAATTCTACTTAGGGTGTCAAATGCTTCTATTGCTTTTATAATCTCTTTGTTTATTTCAAATAGGCTAGGCAATTCTTATTATCTTCAATTTGGTCTACAAGGAATACAACACCTCTACTTTCTATTAATCCAACTATTCCATCATATTTATGATTAACATGTCTACACCCTTTGCTATTTTCATTGTACCCTATAAATGTACACCCGAAACTCTTGTTATCTAACTTGCTTCTTTGCTTATTTAGGACTTACATATACACTAGGCCCCCAAATTTTGAGATTAACCAGATCTAGTTTTCTACCAGTCCGGATTTCATGGGGTGTTAAGCTATTTATTTTAGTGGGAACCATGTTTTAAATATATACAACAGTACCTAATACTTCTCCCAAAAGTGTGTTCTTAGACTTGGGTGAGACAATATTGATCTCACCATATTTAACAAAGTCCTATTAATTCGTTGATTCACTATGTTCTATTATGGTGTTAAGGACAAGGTAAGTTGATGTATAATTCCATTTTGTTTACAAAAGTCATTGAATAGGTTGAAGATATATTCTCCACCTTTATCACTCCTAAGAGTTCTTATTTTTCTTCCTAAGAGGTTCTATACTAGTGTTTTATATTCTTTTAATTTCTCTAATACTTCATATTTCCTCCTAATCAAGTACACAAAGCCAAATATGGAGAAATCATCTACAAAAGAGACAAAATATTCCATATCCCTATATGTTTTTACATTGAAAGGGCCACAGACATCAAAGTGTATAATTTCTAATATTTCTTCTGATTTCTTTCCTTTCTTAAAAGGGGGTCTAGTCATTTTTCCACTAAGGCATGGTTCACAATATTTAAAATTTATTTCTATTTTGATAATTAAACCATTAAAACCCGTTCTCATCATCTTATCCTTGTTTATGTGACAAAGTCTCATGTGCCATATATATGCATTCTCATCCACATGATAAGCATAAGCATAAATAGAATGAGCATCAACTTTATTAATGGTTAAACGGTACAATCCGTCAAACTTAACCCCAAACATTAACACTCTACCATACTTCCCAATGGTCACTTTTCCTCCCCTAAAACATACATCAAAACCCTTTTCGTCCAACAAAGGTACAAATAATAGATTTCTCCTAAAATTGGGTGCATACAATACATAAATTGAAATCAAATTCATGTTCTCATTTATGAGAATCTTCACTTTTCTGGTTCTAAGTACATCAGTATAGGTGTTGTTTCCCATAAAAAATTTGGTGTTCTCTTGTCTTCATTTCCTTCAATTTCAAGAACATCTCTTTAGATTTGCAAATGTGCCTAGAGGAGCCAAAATCAATAAACCAATTAGAAAAAATTGGAATCAATAAAGTAGGACTTAGAAACTACACAAACAATATCCTTCTTTTCAATTTTTGTTTTTCATTATTTGATTTATTCTTCTTGCATTTAGGGCAATTATATTTTGTATAGCCTTGTTTTCCATAGTTAAAGCAATGTTTTCCCTTAATTTTCTTGGACCCTTTTGAAAAGTTAAACTTTTTATAAAATCTCTTCCCATTATTAATTTTAAAATTTTTACCCTTAGGTTTTTTGGCCATTTAGGAAGTTTTAGCTAGTTTTGAAGTGACCATTAAGGATGATGGCTAGGATTTCTTCCTCTTCCTTTTAGCCTCTAAGCCTAGCAAAGTAGGTATATTTTTGATGCTAACTTCTCTTCTAGACGGGTTTAAAATTGTTACTACTGAATTCTAAGAAGTTGGGAGGCTATTGAGAATAGTGGATACCTAATTTTTCTTAGGAATAGGGTTTCCAATAGTTGCCAACTCTTTGGCAATCACATTCATTTTACTAACATGGTCCACTATAGAATCTTCTTCTCTCATTTCACAGCCATAGTATTTCTCAATAAACAATTAAACATATGTTTCAGTTTGTGAACATTGAGAAACAATTCACTTGGACTGATTTAGAGTTGCCATCCATCAGTTAAAGGAATTGGAGATGATGGAACCTCCGAGAATAACTTTCAGAAACATTTTTTATTAAATAGTAACTCCAACACCCAAGGCACTAGCTAAACCAATCCGGATAAGACTTGGATGGAAAAGAGAAGGGGCTAGGCACCCCTCTCCCAAGTCCAATAGCTGGAACCCACATGACATCCCAAACAAGCATGATTGCATATACACAATTAATCAACCAACATAATAATCAAGAAAGCAAATCACAAGAACAAAAAAAAAATATCATTTATTAACAAAAAAGTCTAGGTTAGGCATGAACCAGAGCCCAAACCCAAGTATCAAGCTTATTCTTAAGTCTGAGCTTGACCCTAATATAAAGCCCGAAGCCTAGAGCAAGGGCCTATTCTTCTAATTACATAATTTTTAACTTGTTTATTTCTTTTTTTTTATTTTTTTATTTTTGATAGATGGATATAACTTGTTCATATCCACTCACACATTTTGCACATAAAAAATATTGCTGCCCCGGATACAATTATACACCTTAATTAGGTTGTGTTTGGTTGCAGGGCAAATAAATTTGTATTGATGCAAAACTATGGTTTGTTTGATTGCAGTACAAATGAAGTAAAATAAGACCTCAAGGCTGTGTTTGGTTGCTGTGCAATTTTATTTGTACTAGCTAGTACAAATGCATAGGAGTGCAAATGAAAAAAAAAAGTGTATTCTTGTTTAATTTTGTTTTGGGTTTTACTTTATTCTACTTCATGTCCTAATTTACTTCATTTACACTGCAATCAAATAAAAAATCTAAAATTTGAAACAAAAATAGGTCAGAGTTTAAATTTAAATCATTTGCATTGTCATAATTTTGCATCACTGCAAATTTATTTGTATTGCAACCAAACACAGCCCAAACATAACAAAGCAAAACCCAGGACAAAATAAAATCAGAATTTGCATTCTTTTTATTTGCACTCTCATACATTTGTATTAGTACTAATAAAATTGCACTGCAACCAAACATAGGTTTTAAGTTCAAAAAGAAAAAAAAATCACACATAAAATACAAATTATTATTTAATATATATTAATAATATGCTTTTTATTATTTATAAGATTATTATTGGGCAAGCCCGTGAGGCTACTTGAAATAGGTATACTTCAATGGTGCAATGTATCTCAGCGGTCAGTCTTCCTCCTATGAATTCCAAAAATAATATTCTTTCCCTTCCCCTTTAGGAATTGGGGACCAATCCTTTTTTTTTTTTATTTCTTATTCAGTGTTTTCAACCGTTGAATTTAAGGCGTTCGTTAGGTAGCCTGACACCAATTACAGCTTTACATCCTTACGCTTCTGTACTCGATCATTCATCATCGGTTTCAATCTTTTCAACGATGAGCAGAGCAAGAGAGTATGTCTGCGGCCTCGTGGGCGCATCGATCGATCTTTCAGTTCAAGAAAATTGTCGGAGAAGAACAACTTTTCAACTCTCTGTATTTATGAATGAATGCATATACATATACTTATAATAAAATATATATAAATATACATTATGAATGCGTTGTTGCATATACGTATATTTATGAATTGTGAGTACATACATAAGTATTTATGAATTGTGAGTACATTATACATAAATACATATTTATATAAATATTTTAAAATTTAAACATGAATTTAAGTCGGGTTCGGATTGGATCAGGATGATAAAGGCCTTAACCCTAGCTAAGAAAATCCAAAGTTTAAGTCTGCAGGTTCAGGTTCATACTTATCAACTCTCACCTGAATTTCAACTCAACCTAACCCAACTTTTTCAAGCAAGTTGCAGTTCTATATAAATTCCTCTTTCCACTCCCTCAGCAAAGAGAAAACCCAGGTAGAAATCCCTCGGCACCTTATAAGAAGCACTGCTATATATGCATTCCCTCACTTGTCTTGCTCTCTACCAACTTAGAAGTAGTTTTGAACCTGCTTACACATACCCTCATTTGGGAATTGGGATTTGGGGTTTCCAACTCTCAGGTCTCTCCAAATGGGTAGAAGACCTTGTTGCTCCAAAGACGGATTGAATAAAGGAGCTTGGTCTGCTCAAGAAGACGAAGTCCTCATGGATTACATTAAATTCCATGGTGAAGGAAAATGGAGAGGCCTTCCCAGTAAGGCAGGTGAGCTATCAAGACCCAACCACCTTGCTTTGCTCCGTTGTTGATGACTTGTAAAAATCTTCAAGATGAACCCAATAATATAATTTCATGTGGATTCAATTCAATTTGGGTTCTTTTTTTCTTTTCTTTTTAATTACTCCATAATATTCAGAATCACTTTCTTTTTATTTATTCGAATGGTTGATATTTAATCCAGGTCTGAAGAGATGTGGAAAGAGTTGTAGGCTTCGTTGGTTGAATTATCTGAGACCAGATATCAAGAGGGGGAACATAGCCCATGATGAAGAGGAGCTCATCATCAGGCTTCACAGGCTCCTGGGGAATAGGTAGTATCGACCTGAATATATACCACTAATAATCGTTAACTTGGGTTTTCTACGTAGTTTAATTAGTTTTTGTGTACGTGATCATCATCACTGTAATTAAAGCAATTGGGTGTGTTATAATGTGCAGATGGTCGCTGATAGCAGGGAGGCTTCCTGGACGAACAGACAATGAAATCAAGAACTACTGGAATACTAAATTAGTAAAGAAGGTGCAAGACCATCCTAAAACAATAACTTCTTCTACTCATAGGCACTCAAACTTGTCTAAAGACGACGACGATGACAACGAGAAGAAAAAGAAGCCAATCGAGCCATCACCGACGCCCAACACGGAATCGCGAGTAGTTCGGCCCAAGGCAGTGAGGTGCACCAAAGTTTTTCTCAGTCCACCATGCAATAACCAGCTGGTTGAACCCTTTGCGACCTCCACAGCAATGGACTTAGAATCCAATGACTGGCTGTCGTCGTTCATTCCTGAGGAAGATAAAGTTTTTCTCAGTCCACCATGCAATAACCAGCTGGTTGAACCCTTTGCGACCTCCACAGCAATGGACTTAGAATCCAATGACTGGCTGTCGTCGTTCATTCCTGAGGAAGATAAAGTTTTTCTCAGTCCACCATGCAATAACCAGCTGGTTGAACCCTTTGCGACCTCCACAGCAATGGACTTAGAATCCAATGACTGGCTGTCGTCGTTCATTCCTGAGGAAGATAATTCACTGGATTTTATGATGGATCTCAATGTGGATGACTTTGGTCTATCTTATCTCCTCAATTCTGACTTTTTCCAGCTTTGCCGTTACTATAATGGATTGGTGGGGGAGATCAGCTGCTGCAACGACATAACTCCATCTTCCGACCAACCTCTCTTTTACCCTGACGAATTGCTGGTGTAGGAAATAAGGGGAAAAGACTGTGCTAAACTTAAACACGATGTCGTTTCGGACCTCCGATCTTTGGCCACTTTTCTTGATTGCGATGATAATCTGTTACCACAGTAGTTCAAAGGCAGTTATTGTTGTTGGTAACTTCGTTCTTCCGCCCTGAACAAATAACAGGCCACTAATTAATTAGTTGCACAGGCGTATGTAGTGTGTTTGCTTTTTCTGTGTAGTGCGGATCTAATAACAATAGCTAGTAGGGAACCCTTATTGTGGAGAGCGTTTCAATAAATTTTCTGATAACTCTAACTGGGTTATCTCCTACTGTGGAGAATCTTGCATAGACTCGCTTCTATTTTTCCGTCAGTTTGGCAAAGCAAGGCCTGTAGTTGGATTGACATTCACGTTAAAGCAAAAACAAAAACCACTGGAGGGTCATCTCTATTGCTACATTGTGATGGACAAATTATATCTCCATTAATTCTTTCATTTCATCATCATCGGCTGGGACCCTTTAATTTTTCCAGGAAAAACTATTTGAAGACCCGAGGTTTCTTGCAAATATTTAAATTACCATTCCGATTTAAATAAATGACCTAAAGTTAATGGGGTCGTGCCCCAACTTGGTTGCATGACAGAATGATAACCCTAGTGAACACGGGCACATGGCAGACAAAAGAAATTTCCTATTCACTTATCCTACTTACCTTCTATCCGCGTGTGAATTGCAACCACACACATCTCTATTATGAATTGAGAGAGATACGTAGCTGCGATTAAGGCGGTAGGAAATCTGAGTTGTATCGGCGGAACGACAAGTACAAGTCCTTCGTAACTCCCCAAATGAAGAAGGGCTGTCAAGCCACGTGTTTCCACAAGTGGGGAGTGTCGTTGCTCCCTCAAGCATTTAAATTTTAAAGGCAATCCAACCACTATACCCCTTATGCTCTCTAGCTTATTCAAACAGTTCGCCTAGCCGACCTCCTCACTGCTTTACTGACTTGAGCATTATAGTGCCTTTTCTTGGGAACCACCTCATGGCCTTTGACTTTATTTTCTTGTAGCTCGTCAAGCTCTCACCACCTCGTCCATCATTTCCGCTTCAGTGCAAATCATTTTCTCAGCTCATTTAGTTCAGTAGGACAATTATCTGTTATTCATTCACCTCAATGCAGACTACATCAGATATGGAAATCTACATGAAAAGCCTCTAGTTTCTTCTCTCTTGTACGCCAACAACCATGCCTCCCTAGAACATTTCCAACCGCTCTAGCACTCACTCTCCATCGAGCGCGGGTCTCACTTTTAATGCCCCTCTTCACCCCATGCAGCTCAATAGTTGCAACCAATAACCCAAGAGTAGTTCAATTCCCTACTCTAGCAGGTTGAGTGCATCATTGCCAGGATGGAGGCACTAGGGTTGTGCATACCACTGGACCTCTTCATGGGTCGGGCTCAGGTTGGGCTTTCACTCTGTATTAACAGATTTTTCTAAGGCCTGAGCCCGATCCCGGCCCGACCATCGGGCTTACAATTTGGGCCCGAGCCTGGCCCTCATAAAAAGCCCAAAGCCCGGACCTGGGCCCGAGCCCGAAATTTATCCCATGTTACTACTGTTGAAGCGGCTGAATAGAGAGAGAGAGAGTGAGTGAGAGAGAAATTATAAAGGAAAAAATAAAAAAAAATGTATATGTTAAATTATAAATATATATTTCAATAAATATTATATTATTTATATATTTTATATAATATATAAAATACATATTATGTATTTTATAAAATATATAATGCTGAATTGGGCCGGGATTTTTTGACAAATCCCGAGCCCGGCCCGATTGTGTTAGCCCGAGGTCAGGCCCGCGGGCCTAATTACATGACCAAGCCTGACCGGGGGTGCGGGCCGGGTCATCGGGCTACCCGCCCCATGAACAGGTCTACATACCACAACCTCCAGCGCCTCCCGTGGCTGATCTCCCTAACTGTGATGGTGTGCCCCTTCACGTTGATCCTCTTGTTGAGGACCCCAAACGGCACCAAGAAGACTACACAAGACAGAAAGAAGAGAGTGAGCAACACCCCTTGCCTCGGAAGTCTGACTCCAATGAACTAAGCCTAGAACGTTCACTCCCGAGGAGCCCAACACTCCAGAACCTATATACCAACCAAGGAGCACTTGTGGCCCCTAGGACACCAACAATAGCTGCAACAGCATTGTTCACATGTCATGTTGAGCTCGGTGAAGGCCCAAAGCACTCCTCCAAGGACGACCAAGCGAGTCGACATTGGTAGTGAAATTCAAGATATGCAGGAGCGCCTAAATGAGCTCAAAAGGAGTCACTTCAACTACCACGCATTCGCTTTGGGAGCTCAGCCCAGCAAGGAGCCTATCTTCTGACAACAAATTATGGACGAGCTCCTTCTTCATGGATTTAAGCTGCAACACTTCGAGAAATATGACGACCCCACCTGGAAAGGTTCAAGGCAACCATGCTCCTACACGAGGCCTCGGGCACACTGATGTGCAAGGCATTTGACTCTACCCTACACAGAGCAACTTGACAGTGGTACTCGGCACTACCCCCCAATCCATCGGCACCTAGGACCGAAATGAAGATCTGTTTTCAGCATAGTTCACTAGCAATCAGCAACATTAGAAAATGGTTGCCGACCTCATGTAATTGAGACAGCCAAACAATGGGTCCCTCGGGGAGTTCTTAGAGCGATTTAATGTAGAGTCCATCCAAGTCCCTGGACCAATTAGTAATTATGGTTACCCTGATGCACAATCCGTGAGCCTCCTGCTTTAGCTTTTCGGAGAAGACAGAACCCTGAGACATGACCAAGTTCCTCACCTGGGCATAGAAGTACATTAACGCCGAAGAGGTTCAGTCTCACCACTGAGAGGCCAAAAAAGTTATAACTTGAAGTGAAAAGGACTGTGTCAATTATTGCTTTGGCCACAATCGGAAGAGGTTGGACCATCGTAAAGACTGCAAGCCAAGGGTCCACCTCCTACCTTTAAGAACTTTACTCCCTTCAACATAACATGCACCAAAGTCCTAATGCAAATTCACAACCACCTCTTGGTCAAGTGGCTAGAAAGACTAAAGTCCCAAGGCAACAAGAAGACTCGGGACAAGTACTGCCAATTCCATAAAGATCACATCTACGACAACAAAAGAAACCTGTATCGAAGAGTACACACCTTGCCTTACCTGAAAAGCCTCGCTCTCAATGAGGCTGGCTATGTACTATGATAGATACATGAATGCATATGTGCCAACCACCTTGGAGACTGAGCTCTTGCCCACAAGGCCCTTTGGAAAGGGTACTTCCACTACGAGAAAAATAGCGGCAGTCCCTAAAACTGCCGCTAGAGACTTTACCGGCAGTCTTCAAAGTGCCCCTAAAAAATGTACCGCTATAAGTTTCTAGCGGCAGTTTTTATAGCTACTGGTATAAATGTAAAACTGCCGCTAAAAGTCTTTAGCTGCAATTGCAACTGCCGCTATTAAGTTTGGCGCATGCTTTTTAGCGGCAATCTTGAATTTCTTTAGCGGCAGTCGTGACTACCTCTAAAAGTTTTTTTTTTTTTTCAAACAACGTTTTTTCCTAATTTTCTTCAAATTACCTGTGTTCTCTACATTCATTTAAACCGAAATAAAATACAAAAAAAAAAAAAAATGAACATCAATTACAATAAAATTCAAACAACCATTCTCCATTCAAAATGTTTGAATCACAAATACAATTTAGTTCATAACATCATTGTACAATCATAGGAAATGGCCCATTGCTTCTGAAAGATTCAAAATGTTTACTGCATACAATATAGCCCATGCCCCACACATAAACAGGTTCTCGCACCTTGCTTTGCAACCAGGGGCAGAGCCGAGGGGACCCAGGGGAGCCTTGGTCCCCCACTTTATATTCCCAAGGGGACCCAGAGTAGACTCTAATTCTTCATGCATACATCGTATGATCCTGCATTGCTCAAGATGCTTTCCCGTAAAAACCCTGTATGGAGAGGTTCCTTGTTCTTGCATTGCAAGCTTGACCTTTGTTTGTCATCGGACAGAGTATGGAATTTCGATATTCATCTTTCTTTAAGCCTGTTTGTATGTGTCCTCTAGTAACCGACTCTCTCTTGGGGTCAATCCTCCAATGCCCATCAATGATGAATTTTATCTGCTAGTAACTAAAATTCAGTGGTCATGCATAGAGGGGCTTAACCCTGGCCTATATGCACATTTTTCATAAAAAAATATGGGTATATTACTTATAAACTCCCCGAGGCTTTGATTGAATACTAAAACCTCCCATCGGGTCTACCCATTACTCGATCACCTTTTGCAGTTTAGGGTCAAGTTATTCCACCCTTCAGATAACATGCCCGTCAGTTTTTATGACTAAAAGTGTTAACTTAACATTCTAAACTTATTGCAAGTCCATTCTACGCTTTACTAGCACCCTTTCTTTAATCAGCCTTTCCAGTATCATAGTCGGACTTTTTTTTTTGTTGGGGGGTAAAAGACTATGGGTTCAAGTGCCCCCCCCCCCCCCCCAACAAAAAGAAAGGGTTCAAGTTAGACTTGCCACTTCATGCTAAAAATGCCAAATAGCTGGATGTAGTATTAGGTAATGGATTGGGGTTTCAACAAATTCAAGATTCTTACTTTAGGTCTCCACTTATCATCTGGAAGAATGTTGGTTGATTTGATATCTCGATGCAATCTCCTTGGAGCAGCAGCTTCATGCAGATACTCCAGGCCCCTTGCAGCCCCAAGAGCAATATTAACACGAGTTCCCCAGTCCATGGGTTCCTACCCTGGAGCCCCATCTAAACAATTTCTAAGATTGCCATTGCACATGTATTCAAAGAACAGTAACCTCTCAGCCTGTTTCCCGTGGGACTCCAAGCAGTAGCCAAGCAAAGGCACCACGTGACAGTGGTTGAATCTTGATATCAGTTCAATCCGAAGAAACAAAAATTTGTCAGTCTTCAAGGCTGCGGC